CAACTGAGTTTTTCCAGTTTCCCACATTCTGACTTTTTTTTCTATTATTATATGTTAAAAATATGCCACTCGCATAAACGACAATATATGGTGCCTGATACATCATTTGAAATTTGTTGTATCACTCAGTATGTACCTAGAAACATGAAAGAGTTATTCTTTCATTAAGATTCAGTTTAAGATAATTTTCGCAATTCAATGGTCACCATTTTGAGATAGCATGACAGTGTTCCAAGAAATCTAATAATATTTTATTAATTTATTCCATGAAAGTAAAAATGTCACTGATAAAAATGGTAAATATACAATTACAAACCCTGAGCGAAGGCTATGTGGGTCAATCTATGAAAAAATTATAATACAAACAGTAATATAATTACTTTAAACATTAAAAATTTTGAATAAGATGAGGTTCAACTGTACAAACAATTTGTATAAGTATATAGATGTTATCATTATTGATATTTATTTAACAGTAAGAAAACTCGCAACTTATTTATACAAAAAGGAAACAAAAAACAAATGTAAAAAATGTCAGTGTGAGAGAGTTATAAAATGGTTCTCATAAATTAGATGGTGTAATTTTCATTTAAAGGCATTTATGTTAATTATCTGAGATCAAATTGTAGTACTTTATTCCTTCTACCACAATGCTTTGTTGTCCTGCAGTTGTAATATATTTCTTACATTATAGTTGTGAACCTGATGACTGGCAGTTGTTTCCATATTAGAGTGAATTTTTTTCCATTTGACACTGGTGTAGATGTACATTGAATAATTATATTTAAATAGAGAGAAAATAATTATATCGAAAGAAAAAAGTGTCTTTAGCAGCACTTCAAGGTCATTTCTTCGATTAGTACTTGATATACCACATTAATATCCCCCATAAGCTAAAATTTCTTGTTCAGCTCATTCAACATGTCAAGTTTGTTTTCTAGAATGGAAAAACATTCATTTAAGCTAAAATTCCACGACCTACACATGGCACCAACAATGATATTGATCATTTCAGTATAAACAAATAACAATGAACATTCATATTAAGTAATTTCACTAACTATCTAGAGATCTTTTAAAATACCAACACCACCCACCTCACATTCCTCTACTTGTATAAAATGACTGATAATGATAACCATTGATGTAAAAGAGCTTTTCTTCTGGATACAAATCTAATAACATATATGGGGTAATACATACAAGAGCTTTCATATAATGTAGCACTTGCCATAAATTGTCATTTACGAACAAAATTGATGTCATATTTTTGACAAAAATGTCAATAAATAAAAAATTACATCTATCAGCATGTGGAAAACTGGAAAAATAAATTGACTTGTTAAAGAGTTTTCTGTAAAAATGGAAGATTATCAAATAAATTAAAGAGTGGCCCATTATTTTTCATGCACAGTCACCATTGAATATTAAATAGTCACCAGTTTGAAAGATTGAGACAAAATAAAATAATAATGTATGAATGTATTGAGTGATCCAAGCCTTTTCAAATGAGGTATTAATTGGAATTATGAGGTATCTAATGACAATGGCATCAGACTAAAGGCTCGTTTTCACACTACATCTTATTGTACGTTTTGTTGGATAGGACAAATCCTATACAATAAAACGTTGCATGTAAACAGCAAAACGTATGTCTTGTCGGAAGGAAACACATAGTGTGTATACACTGGACAAAACGTACATTTTTTAATACGTTTTATATGACCAACAAAACATACAATAAGACGTAGCGTGAAAACGGGCCTTAATAAATCTAGCAACTTCCTTAATATGGTCATTGCCAGCACAGGCTTCCAGCGACAAAATATTCATAAGGGAATGTGGAGATCTCCAGATGGGTAATCAGATGTAATAAACGTATGCAGCAGAAGAGGGACAAATGCGGACTCAGATCACTACCTAGTGGAAAGTAGAATAAGAGCCAGAATCTCAAACATTAAAAAAGAAAAGGGATCCAAAATTGAAAAAGTCTACAAAAAAAGCTCAAATCAACTGAAGGACAGTGGTTCGATGAAGAGTGTTGTAACATAACAGAGAGGAAAAATAATGCATATTGCATAATGCAAAAAATGGAAGAACTAAATAAACCATCAGAAAACAGAAAATTCTACCAAAAACTTAACAAAAGCAGAAAAGAATTTAAACCAAGAACAATGATGTGTAGAGACAAAGAAGGAGATATAGTAACTCAACATAATGAAATACTACAAATATGGACAGAATTCTTCCAAGAAAAGTTTGAAAAAAACGAAGATCCACTATATGATGGAATTATACTGGATCAAATGGATACTAGAGAAACAACCCCCCTTCAGTAGCTGAAATGCAAGAAGCAGTTACCAGACTGAAAAACAACAAGTCACTTGGATTAGACAACATTAGCGCAGAATTAATAAAGGAAGGTGGATACTCCCTATTGAATGCTATACATGAACTAATAGTGAACATATGGAATAATAAACAACTGCCACAAGACATAAAAAAAGACACTACATAAAAAGGGAGATCAGCTTCAATGCAAAAACTACAGGGCAATAACGCTACTGACTGTGGCATATAAAATACTGTCAAATATTGTGTATGACTGATTGAGACCATATGTGGAACAACTAGTTGGGGGATATCAATGTGGTTTCGTGCAACGTGCGGATCTAGACACACATCATCTTTTCATTGACTTTAATATTCCAACTCAACTCATTGATATAGTAAAAGAAACACTTAAAGTACAAAGGAAAATTTGAATTCAAAATGAACTAACAGATACAATCCATATGAGAACGGGCCTATGACAGGGAAATGCCCTATCCAGTATTCTATTCAACATCACATTAGAGAAAATAATTAGGAAGTCAAAAGTCGACACCAGGGGAACAATAATAACAAACAGTGTACAAATATTGGCATTTGCAGATGATGTTGATATCATAGCTAGAAGGGAAAGAGAGATGATATAAGCATTTAATGCAATAAAAAGAACAACACAAAGCAGTGGCCTAAGCATTAACAAAATAAAAACCAAATACATGAAGGCCAGTAAATCAACAGACCAAAAAAACCTACAGAATCTGACAATAGGAGACTATTGTCTATATAACATCGAAAAACTGGTGCTTGTATATGGATCAGAGACCAACTGGAAAAACAAAGCAAAGAACAGAACAGAATGGCAGAAAATCCTAGAACAAGCCAGGACCCAGAAAGAGTTATCTAGCTACTGATGATGATGATTTTAATTGGAATATATTTAAAATAATTTGAAAAAATATGATTTTGAATGATTATGTTGACTATGACTATGTACTGCATTTTGGAGAGATAAACTTAGAAGAACATTCTTTAAATTCAAAGGTCCCTTTTACAATAAGCTTAGTCATTAAAAGTTGTTTTCACTAAAACATTTCCAGTGCACTCAACAAAAGCTTAGATAATTACAGATTCAAAGTATACGAAATTTTTTGTTCACAGGAATATGTATGAATATGTCCACAGATCAATCAAATACCATGATTTTGACTTACTAGATCTCATGAATTTGAGATAAGTGAAAAGACAAATATTAAAGCAGAAAAGTTTAGTGAATACCTCCATTATTTACTTTGAAAGAGACATCACTTCTGCCATTTGCAGTGTTCTATACAAATCCAATAAACTTGAGATTTGACTTCCCTTACAGACAGTTATGCCCTCTCCCTCAAAGGCACACATACTGTGAAAACAACCAGGTTTGAAAATTAAAATTGGTGGCAATACTAAATTTAATTTTTCAAATAATTTTAATAAAACATTGATTATTAAAGATTTGGCAAACTCATGTTTTAGAAAATAAGGAATAAACTAGATTAGTATATCTATCAACTAGATGATGGGTTAGAAGAGAAAATCAAAAGACTACTTTTGTGTTCCAAGATTAAGATGATCATAATTATACACAAGTCATGTCAGAAGTTCAAAGCTACTTTCTTGTTAATATAAATAAACCTAATTGAAAAATACCATTATATTAGATCTACACAATTAGAATAGAATGGAAGAAGAGGACTCTACTAAATAGACATCTAAGTATTTATATTTATTTTTAATAAACTTATTTCAATACTAAATATCATAACAATATTAGTTCTTGGCTTACAACAAAAAATATGTATATAAATACCAACATCACTTTATATTTGCCAAGATTGCAGCTAAAACTATGAATAACTAAATAATTATTTTTACTAATAAGAAATATGAATTTCATTGACCCACAAGCAGGTACTTGGATACTAAATAATCAACATTTGGATGTTATGCCAGGAATAACATAGAGATATGAGATGTAGAAGATAAGTGTGAATTATTTACTGGGAGGCATTTCTTTCTTAACATTTAAAACTTTGAAGATGACAGATAGTCACATCAGTTAATATTTGAATGCCTTTTAACAATTGTTAAATGTTATAAAAATGAAATTTAACATTTTCTATTTAGAAGTATTTAAAATGTCCATTTATGCAAATATTTAATACTGTTGAACTTTCACACTGATAATCTGGAAAGTGCTAGAATATTAAGTGAAATGTATCATAGATGTTTATATGAGGCACATCAAATAATTAAATAACCATAATTAAACCTTTTTCAATTCCAAGTTATCTAAATGTTTTTAAATTTCCTAATCTGTTTTGAATTATACAAGAAATAAGTACTTTGGTATTTGCTTATCTAAAAAAGCATGAAAATAACAGTTTTATTTTATAATAAAAAATTAGATAATAGAACATTTTTTATATCTAAAATAATTAGAAAAATCAAATTTCAATATGAACTAGAATTATTTGTAAGATTAAATAAAAAAATTAAGTGGGAAACTGCCAGGACAAACAGTAAATGCATTTAATTACTTTTATTATCAAGGTTTAAAACAACAACATATATAACAATGATAAAATTAACTTAGCACTTCTGAATGAAAAAATAGAAAGATATGACTTTACCTTTTGGTTATATCTTCGTTTATCTTTGGGCGCCTTGATGACTCCAGAAGTCTCTGTTCCATTCACAGTAATCTCTTGTTTCTTTGGTTGTAACACTCTTTTCTGGGATGTATGAGGTTGATGTTGGCTGGCTTCTCCTGTTGTTGGTTTAACTTGCCAAGGGTTTACTTTCGGAATAGGAGCTTCTACAAAAACTTTCTTTACGTCGTTTTGTTCTTCATTACCTTCTTTCACAGCCGTGGATTCTTTGTCATCACGTTTTTCTTTTAAACGCAAATCTTTTGATTTTTCCTTAGATGAGTGTTCATGCTTATCTGTTCTGTCAACAACGACAGCAAGTTTTTTCTTAAGTTTTTCACCTTTTCTATCTTTACGACTGTGACTTACTACAGGTGTGAATGATTCTTCCTCCTCTGTGTTTTGTTTAGGCTCTTCAGGTTGTTTTGAACTGTCAGCTATTTCTGCTTCTTTAACTTGTATTGAATTTAACTGCTCTTCTATATTCTCCTTATTATTATTGTTTGTATTGTTAGTTGGCTGCTTAAAATTTAATACAGCATGTGCATAGGACGCCCCTGCTTCTTTGGTGTCATCCTGAGGATTGACTGGTGTGGGAGGCACACGTGCATCCATCGCAGTTTTACTTCTTTTAAATTAATTGTGCACTATCGAAATTAAAATAAAATAAAGTCTGACAGAACAATATGGAGTGGAACTGTAACCATGTTGGTTTAGTAAAGCATGGTATCTATCACACACTTGAAATTGTCCACCGTCACAACACTACACATGAACGTCAGGACATCGATGATGGTTATGTAACTTAGTCCAACTTTTTTTATGTATTTATTTTTTTAAAACCCGTTATATAATGAATATCGTTTATATTTTCATAAATTTAGACAGGAAACTAGAACTCTTACAGTACCCTTAGGTATAAACCTAAACTTACAGGTTCAATTTCGACAGAACATTGTGAATCAATCAATTCACAAAACAAACTTTGACAACATATCTGTCATATGCCAATATTTAAGCCTTTTTGATTGTCCGGACTTTATTTTTCAAATAATATATTAGTTCATCACTTTTATCAGCATAACTTACAAATTGTAACTTTATACAATTTCATATTTAAGACGTATTCAAGAATCTTTACAATTGTATAAAAGTTTGTGAATATTCGGAACGCATTAATATGATTGACCTATGAAATGAACATATCTTTTCCTCACGCATGCGTTGTAAATACGCACATGCCAAAATAATACGCAATAAGAGAGGAAATAAAACATACACTAAATAGACATAATAATAATTGCCTCAATATAAGGAAGACCAGGAATAATTAGAATAAGTTTCCATGGCGAAGTCATTTAAAATAACTCCAACACATTAACAAACGCAGATATAACTATAAAATATGGGTTTACGTCTAGAGAACGTTCCCATGAAGTTAGCTACAAAGAAACTTCAGTAAAGTAAACACAAATTTGCGTTTGCGGTATTGCCATATCCTTATTATGTATATGTTTTTGAAACAGTTCATTTTTATTATATTATTTTATGGAATCAGGTGTTTCTTAATTTATATAAAACACAAACGAAGGAATATTTATTTCTTTCGATAATAGTTGCAGTTAGTTATTAGAAAAAAATATTGTAATTACCCTTTTGTAGCTTAGCGGATAAATTTGGCAATAGTGTTAAAACCTTCAAAACACTAGTTGCCAGATATTGACAAAGTAAAAATATATTACATTAAAAACATTACAGCAGAATTTCACTTATTCACTTTCTAAATTAAGTACTTATAGGAATTTATCGCAAAAGTATAGAGAAAGTGCCGATGAAGTTAGCTACAAATGATCCGTAAAATTTATGTTTGCGGTATTGCCATGTTCTTATTATGTATTTGTTTTATGCCTCAAATATGCTTTGAAACCGTACATTTTTATTATTATTTTATGAAATCGGGTATTTTTAAATTTTTTAAATTTATATAAAACATGAACGAATGAATATTTGTTTCTTTTGAAATTAGTTGCAGTTAGTTATTAGAAAATTTTTTTTTATAATTGGCCTTTTGTAGATTAGCAAATAAACTTGGCAATTATGTCAAAACTTTGAAAACACTAGTTGCCAGATTGCAACAAATGTTCGACAGGTTTCAATTTTATGCCTATTTTCTTATAATTTTGTGACGAAATGATACCTATAAAAATTTAGTTAATTTAATTTATAATAAATTAATTAACTTTTTTTAAAAACCTAAAAAGAATGTTTAGTAACATTAATAATTAATATTATATCGCATGCTCTTTCTCGTTTATTTGTGATATGGCAACACTGCCAAATACAAATCTGTCCCTCATTTATAGCTAACTTCATCGGTACTTTCTCTATACTTTTTTTGCCGGATTTATATACTATTTTTCTCGTTATTTTACCATTTTATGTTTTCCATGTTTAATTAAATTAATTAACATTATACCGCATGCTCTTTCGCCATTTATTATAAGAGCATGGCAACACTACCAAATACAAAATTTTCGTTATTTATAGCTAACTTCATCGGAACGTTCTCTAGACTCAACCAAAATATGAGTTTGAGTATCCCATATTGGTTGACCTTCGTCAACCACGAGGAATACACTAGAGTCTAGAACCACTATTCTGTGCAGACATGCGCAGTTGATTTGTATCCATTTCTGAATGTGTCATTGAGGTTTATGTGTGTTGTTGGTTGCGAACATATTTTTTTTATAAATTAATAATATAATTATTTCAATCCATCTCTTTAACCCGTTTGATAAATTTAATAATGTTTAAATTGTAAGAATAACTCTAAAATAAATAGTAAATAATAATAGCAAATCAAAATTAAAGATTTTTTAAAATGGTTTTAAAAAGTAATTTTTGCGCATTTTTTCCAACAAAAATTTGTTATTTTATATACAGGATGTTGACTGATGTTATATATCAATTACTATGATACCAACTAAACTTTTGGATTCTGCACAAAATTCCAAGAACTTTGATATATTGCATGTTATAGTTTTAATTAACTTATTTTAGGATACAGGGTGGTAAATGAATAGATCACTCTCTGCATGTCTCCTTATGCCTTTAAAAGATTCTATACCTAATTTCAATAAAGAAGTGCGAGTTCAGTTTCGTATCTCAACTTGTTTGATGAATCTATAATATCTGCCCATTTTATTACCATAATCTTACTGATTTTTAATTAATTAAAATATATTTAAACTATAAATATTTAAAAATGTTTCTTTGTAAACGAAATGTAATATATTAATTAAATTAATTATTATTAGAAGTTTCAACTTCTAATTCAGTAATCGAAATACAATTAAATAAAAATTATTTTGTTTGGTTAAATTGCAATATAAAAAAAATCTTGTAACAATTTCATTTTATTTGTCTCATACATAATGACAATTTAGATATACATTATACATTTTAAGGTAAAGGACTATAAAACGATATTTTCAATATGTTTTACATTGTACAATAACAAATCCATACTTTAAATTCATATGCTTCACTCTCTTGTTATTTCCCTGATATTTCACAAGTGCTAAACACCCTTGGTTATCTTCAAAAATCTTTATTTGTTTCACTTCAATATTTAAATCAAGTAATAATTTTCTCATAAATAAATTTTCTGTTACACAAGCACATAAAGCTACTAGTTCAGCTTCAGTTGTTGATAAAGTTATACAGTTTTGTTTTCTTGGTACCCATGATACTACATTTCCAAATAACTTTATTATGTAACTAGTAACTGAGTTTCAATCAATTCAATCACTTCCCCAATCAGAATCTACAAATCTTACCATTGGCTGTTCATTTTCCCTACAATATTCCAAACCCACATTTTCAGACCCCTTTAAATATCTCAATACTCTTTTTAAATGAATCCATATTTCATCTGATGCCTTGTCTTGGTATCTAGAGAAATAATTAAGAGCGAAACATATGTCAGGTCGACTACCTAAAGATACATAAAGCAACCTATGAAGTGTCTCACAGGTTTATTTGAATTATTATTATCACTGCATGTCAAATTCAATTTTGGATCTATCGGTATAGAAGTAGGATTGCAAGAATCCATACCAAACTTTCTTAAGATCTGTTTAATATATCTTGTCTGACTAATATGTAAAATACCTTTGTCTCTATCATAGTTTATTTTTAAACCAAGAAAATATTCAAGTTTACCCTTATCCTTCAATTCAAACTTTTTCATTAACTGCTTTACCATATAGTTTATAAAATTATTATCAGGACCACAAACTATTATATCATCTACATAAATTAAAAGATATGTTGCAAAATTATCATTACTTGTAATATATAAACAAAAATCATTCTTGGACCTTATAAATCTAATTTCAAGTAAATAAGTGTTAATTTCTATGTTCCAACATTTTGATGATTGTTTTAACCCATACAATGCTTTATTCAACATATATACTTGCTTTTTACTTTCTACTCCCTCTGGCGAATATATATAGTCTTCTTCCAAAATTCCATTTAAGAATGCTGACTTAAGATCTAGTTGTCTGAAATAAAATGAAAATTGATTTCCAATAGCCAATATTGTTCTAACGGTGGTCATTTTCGCTACTGGAGAATAAATTTCTTCATAATCTGTTCCCTTCTCTTGTGCAAATCCTTGAACTACTAATCAAGCCTTATATTTATCACATTTACTCTCTTCAAAAGGTTTAAAAGTATATACCCATTTCGTATCCAAAATATTATTTCCAATAGGTTTGTTATCTACTATATTCCAGGTACCATTTTTATTTATCGAATCAATCTCTCTTTCCATTGCCTTAACCCAGCAATCTTTATCATCCCTTTCTTTTACTTCTTCAAACAACTGTGGCACATCTTCAACCAAATTCATAGCACATAGAGCCATATAAGTCTCATAATCTTCTAACCATTTTGGTGGCTTTATATTTCTATTTCCTCTACCTTCTGAGTGACTTGTGCTCTGTTCTTCATATCTTACTTCTTCATTAATACTAAATTGATCTATTTCATTTCTGCGATTTATTTCCTCTTTTGCAATGTTGTCTACCCTATCCATACCTTCATCATGTTCGCTCCTAACTTCTCCAAACCTCAAATATTCCTTAAATTTACTGAAAAACTCACTTTTATTTTTAATTAAAAAAAGCATAGTAAAATTTAAAAAACCATCTATAAAAGTGACAAAATACTTACAACCATCAATTGTTTGTGGACTGATTGGCCTGCACATGTCAGAATGTATTATTTTTAAAATTCTATTACTTTTTGTCCTTGTTGAAAAAGGTAACCTTGAAAACTTTCCTTGTATACATGGTTCACAAAAATTCACTCAGCCAATATGTATGTCCTTGCTTACTCCATCAACTAAATTCTTTTTGATTAATTTTTCTAGTGATTTAAAATTTAAATGTGAAAATCTTTCATGCCATCTAATAAATTCTTTATTTTGGTCATTTTGGACAGAGTAACATTTTTGTTGAACTACTTCAAAATTGATTTTGTATAAACCATCTCTTTTACCTAATCCTATTAAACAACCATTCTTAATTAATTTTACAACACCATTT